AATAATAATAATAATAATAATAATAATAATAATAATAATAATAATAATAATAATAATAACAACTATATAATAATACTATTATTACTATTATTACTAATAATAATAACAATAACAATAATATAATAATAATAGCAAGAAAAATTTTTTAGTTATACATTGCATATAGATCACAGAGTGAATATAGTCACTAGACATTCAAAAAAGTAATCTACAAATAGTACAAATAGTGCCAAGCCTAGTATCACGTATATATATATATATAATTTTTCTTTATATATATATATATAATATATATAATATATATTATATATATATTTAATTAATCTCATTTTTCCTTTATTTAAACGCTATGTACGCGAGAGCGCAGGCACTAAATTGCTGAGATATAATCATACCAGACTATTGATGATTCTCATTTACTTATTCAGAAAAAAAAGATGATTCTAATATGTACGTAAATATATCGATTTATATATCCTTATATATGTATAAAGTGTATTTTCGTAGATCGATATTAATTTTCTATAACGAGGTCTTGTGCAATTAATAATAATATAGTCGTACAAACGTGTACAATCCGTTTGGTCGTATTTTATTTAAGTGAAATTTCGAGATGATTTTATTTTCTTTCTTTCACCCTTCTTATTTCTTATAATTCTTTTGTAACAGTTCACGCGATGAATTAGATCGATCTCTCTTCTCCATTTTATAAATTCTTTAAAAATTTGCGCGATGTATCCTAACCTAATGCGTGAACACGTTCTTGCGATATGGTATTACTTTCGATGAAATTTTTTCTTTCAAGCAACGACTAAAGCTTGTTTCACAAGGCAGGCGACTAGAATAGAAATTCTATCGAATAAGAAATGTTTGCAAAGTTTAAAAGCGCGAGAAAATATCTCTCATGGAATACGAACGCTTGATTAGAAGTGATAAAAGATAAGAATAAATCAGACAAATAATCGATTATGAATGAACGAATGTAACATCTATGAATCTCACGACGATGAGAAACGATTATATCTAGTACGTGTAACGACAGATATATACATTATATATCTTTTATTGTTATACGTAACGAGAATGATCGCGTACGATATCTTAATCTTTACTTTACTAACGCGAAATAGAGCTCGAAGATGTGCTTAATTATCACGGCTTAATTGGTTCGCTATACTATATGCAGCGTTAACTTCACGATGTCGGTTCAAACACTTTTCATCTGGTCCCATTCGTGTTGGCTCCTCGAAAAGAAAATCCCAGAAAACACTGTGTGTTTTTTTGGTACGATCTACCAATATTTCATCGATATCACGCTGGGAATATGTATTCACAGGAAGGACCTGCTAGGAAGATCTCCATTGATAATAATTGTGTTTGCATCAGACACTTCCTTGATTCCTTCTTGCAATAATAACGCGTATTAGTTTTATATAAGATCAGCAAATATATATGATAAAGCATAACTATAACATCAGAATTGTATCTTTTAACTCTAAATTTTAATTTATGGAGAAATTAATTATTATGGATATTATAATCTGATACTCTCCTATCCAAAACATTAATCCAAAATTATTGTTGATAACTTTTTTTTTATTTCACACATATAAATTATATTTACATGTGCAAAATATTCTCAATCTTTGATGCGCAGTGGAAATGACATTTTTAGATTAAAATTAGAATTATTAAAAAATTCATTAAAATGATGAGTTCTTATTTTTGTCATTATTAAAAATAAAGGAATTTTTAATAAAATTAATTATTGATTTTTAATGAAAAAAAGATGATTATCACATATTATTTTAATAATCATCTATATAGAATACGATTAAATTATATTATATTATAAATATTATATTTTGAAAATCGATAGCTATAAAATTACTTAGTATTATCTGATCTAATGAGAAAATCATTCTAGAATATAAAACAGAGTCAATGCCACTTTAAGAAATTGATTCACATATAGTTTGAGGTTAAAAATATATAGCGGAATGGTAGAGATAAAAGATAGAATTCGATGAATGTGAAGATTATTTCTTATGGAGGAGGCGATTTGGATAATCCTTAGTTGATTATAATGGATCACCATTTGGCTATTTCGTTTAAAACGATTGTTCACACATACATATTTATATAGAAAGATCGATCAACGCGTCGAGTTTATTGGTTCGACAGTGTTATTTATAAAATACGAAATCATTTTTATTAGTAGCTATAGAGTGATAGCTTGAAGCGATGATCTTTAATAAAAGTGATTATTAATAGCGAAACGTACATTGTCGTTTGGTCCAAACATCGTGAAAACATGGCGAATCGATGTAAGGTTTTGCGTTTAATAAATAACAAAAAAACACAAACTTTGCATCGTCTTTGCTATGTTTCGTTTCTAGATTTCATTCATCTGTCTGCAATGTTAATCAATGTCAAACGAACGCGAAGAAGTTTTGTACCATGATTCATGAGACATAACTTTCTTTTCTTTTATTTTTAGAAGAGTTTATACTTCTCTTTCAATTTTCTGTCTTTTTTTTTTTTAATACAATCAAATTTAAACATATGGTAAATTTAATTTCAAGATTTCTTTCACAATACTTTTTAAAATACATCGTAAATTTTTCGATATTAGATTATCTTTTTTCTTCTGCAAAATATTTCGAATATTAAATTTTTTCGTGACATAAAATATGTTTATTTGACTTTATCAATATCGCAAATATATCTGTTAATTCTTTATCGAATTTAACATCTTTTAAACATAAAAATTAAACAGTGATTATCTTACAATCAGTATGAATTATAATATAATTTCTCTTATTTCCTAAAATTCTCAAACTAAGTATTTTTGCATTAAGCATAATCTATTTTCTTCACATTAAACTTTGATTTATAATCGATAATGATAATAAATGGCCGGATAAGTTATATGCAAACGCATGTCAATCAGAAAAATTCTTTGTACCAAAGCAGTAGACGTAAGACTTAAAGGAGCGAATTTTTTCGAATAAAAAAGAGAAAAGGGATTTATGTGAATAGGAATTTGTACATTTTGAAAAAGAGATTGCGTAAAATTGCTTTGAAAACGTCTAGACGATTCTTTCTTTAGGGCGACTTCACAACCGTCATTGGAAAGAGAAAGGTGTAGCAACGATGGTCGTGGATTTCCAGTGGATCTACGCCTTAGCCTCGAGAATTTCAACGGTGACATTTTCCGAATGAACAGTTTCAGACATGGTATTTGGTTGATTAGGTGGCGATTTGTTCGATTTCGTTGAGACGGCTGACGCATTCCCACTGCTACCCCGACTTCCCCGTCGTGATCCTGTTCGTGACCCTGGTGACAGACATTTTCTTGCTAAAGTATCGCGTGCTTTATCACGACTATATACTTTTGACATGACACGAAAAGCTGAAATACAATCGAAAGCATGAAGAATTGTGCCGAGAGAATATATAAGTTCGATCGGAGCGAATTCTTCGTTGCGATTATAAAAGAATTACAGCAGCGGTTGTGTATTTTATCGAAAAATATTTTCGAATTAAATTCAATTTGATACATTATTAAAAAAAGAAAAAAAAAGAGAGAGAAAGAGAAAGAAAATGCAATATAAAAATAGATAATATTAAACTATGAATTTTTAGAATTTTTTATAAAAAATTTTTATTTTGTTTTCTGTGTGTTTTTTTTTTTTTTAATAATTGATATTATCGCTTCCAAACGCCACTGTGTGCACATGCATAACAATTGTCTAATTCTACAAGTGCTCGAGAACTTGAACTGTTAAAAGATGTTTGAAGTGATACTTGACTCGATCGATTTCATTGTCAATGGATCTTTAGAAATGAGAATGGTAGCAAATTCACATTCACGAACTAAAGGATCCGGCTTACATTGAGATTTTAATTAACCATTTCCAATAAAATAGATCGATAATCTATCTTACCGTATAACCAGAATGCATTTCTCGAATGCGATCTAGTCT